AGCGTGTGAGAGTGCAGCATCTTTGTACATAGAGACGATCTCTGTCAGACGGCGGAGCGGTTGGAGGTTTTCAATCTGTGGCGTGCACTCTGTTGGTGGAAGAGGTGCGGTTCGTACCAGCGTCTGCGTATTAAACTTCACACGGAGAAACTGCAGAGGTACGTTTAGATTAACTTTGAAGACCACTGTTTGAACTGCGACCTTAAAAGAAAAATCTAACTTCTCAGTTTAAACTATTCTGGACATTTTCCGCGCTCTTGGCTTTTGTGAATCTCGCGGGGTGGAAGCTGGTGTCGAGCATGAATGGACCACTGTGAAGTTGAAGTGAAATGGGAGTAATGTGCACTTGCAGTATATATATATGCTAACTAACACGGTGTAGTTCACACAAGTGATCTCGGTGTGGGGTTTTAGTGGCAGCTGTTTTTGTTTGGTAGCTCACGCTCCACACTTAGAAGCGACTACAAAACAAAGTGATGGTGAGTGAGCAGGATGGCTGCACTGTTGGCATTTTCTTTACCAAGAATGGAAGGAGCTTAGCCGTATCCAGGACGGGTTGGTGGTGGGAAAGTTCCCCGATACTCAAATCTGCTATCGTTATTCCCTTGTATTGATTTGGTGAGTTGGGACAAGCCCTTACACCAAACAGAACTGACTCATTGGACTTGACCTTGTGCCATGGGCGGGTGTAAATATAGAAACATACAAACAAGAATATGCAAGACATTCCAAAACAAAGTTTATGGCATCTAACTCTCAGTCTGAAAGATCGGTGGGCAAGATAATTAAGATAGTAGTTAAGTAGACTGGTAAGAGTTTAAAACCACTGTTTAAAGCACCCGTGTTTGGTGTGTGCTAGTTTAACTTCCGTGTTAAAAAGCTAGAAACAGCTTTCCTACTGGCTATACGTTACATTAAGGTAGTGTATGTTAATGCTTTCGTGTGCACGCGCGCCTCCTCGTGTGCACGCGCGCCAACGGCAGGAAAAACCAGCTTGTCTACGTTGTTCAGATGCTTCAGCAAGACAGTCCATTTCGTAGTTTTACTAACGCTACTAGAACACAAGGGCGTAGATTTGGCATGGACGGAAGGGACATGTCCCCACCAATATCCAGCGATTATTGAATTGTCTCCACCAATAATTTAAACTCTTCGAGTAAAGAAAAACAAACCCGATAGAAAGAAAAAAACATCTGTCGACGTCTCATTCACACAGGACTGGAATCCTATAGGAATTTACAGAGGTCATTTAGAAAAGGTGCAATGGCTTGTAGCTAGTCAAAGTGTGCAAAGCCAGTGAAAGGTCAAGTGTCCGTTTCACCTGTTTCTGGTTACATAGGTGGGGGGAGAAGTGTAGTTGTTTCGTTTAAACATAAGGGGTGGAAAACATCTGTCGTGGCTTTCACTGATGACACACTACCTCCTTTAGAGTATAGATGGCACGATACCACTTTTTTTATGTCCGATACCGATATCATAAATTCGGATATCTGCCAATACCAATATAAATCCGATATAGTGTGTTTTTTAATCAATAAAACAGTTTTTTTTAATATCTTGCTGCTTTTTGTATAAGTTCATACTCAAGTTTAAAAAACCCCCCACTAAAGCTATTCTGTTATACCTGTATGTTTAAAATAAATAAATAAATAAACACACTGCACCCAAAATATTTCATAGTTCAGCAAAACTGATCAACCTAATAAACTTAAACCTGCTCCATCCTCCCTATTCTGGTATTTTAAAGAGTAAGCAACCTAACTAATAGGGCTTTAAAACTCCCAGCAAAAAAAATAAAAATAAAATAGGGACCCCCCACCCTCCACCTCATGATGCTTAATTGACGTAATCAACTGTAATTTGATGCAGTGTGAAAAAAATGCACAGAAATAAATTATTTTTCAAGAAATATTAAATAGATTCAACATCTTTCTTCAACAGAACTGCAGACTGCACAGATGGTTCCCTCCCAAAGGAAAAAGTGCTATAGCTTACTAGGGTATATTAGACCTAATAGTTACTATATACAGTAATGGACTAATATACATTTTACATCAGATTAAAACTTTGGGTGTCAGATTCAGATAATTATTTATTAAAAGCTCGACATTTTAAATGAGAATAAGAAAGAAAAGTATGTCTTTGTGCCCCCTTTTCCCTTTTCACTGGTCCGACATGCTACGGTTATGAGCCGAGTTACGCTGTGTCGCAAGTTTTGTGAGGTGCTTTTTTGATATTTAATGGATCAGATTACATTTTTTTGTTTCTCTCCAATATCCGATCCAGTGATTTACGCCAGTATCGGACCAATACGTAATATCGGATTGGTCCATCTCTAGTTTAGAGTATAAATATATTGCCACAAGTTGCCGGCAGCAGCATTATAGTGACACAGCATAAGTCAAATATAAGCACATAAGCATCCCAAGTGATGTTTTTCCTGGAAATTCCAAGTGAAGTGTGTAACTGCTTGACAGTAAAGCAGTTTAACAGTGTAACTACAAAAACAGTGCAAGGTTATAAAACAGTTGGTGCACTGGGTGAAATGTAAATGAAAACAGACTGCAAAGATTTGCAAATTTCATGCACCCATATTTTATTTGGAGTTGAACAGAGCAAATGCATCAAATGTTTGAGCTGACAAAATGAATGCTCACAAAAAAAAAATTGTGATTTGCAGCTTGCACATCTGCTTCCATCCAAATGACATAATTTACAGGGAAAGCCTGGCATATTTCAGCAAAACATTTCTAAACCACGCACTGCACTTAATACAACAGCATGGCATTTTAGTAAATTAGTCCGGCTGCTGAATGGCGTGCGGTCCAGACTTTTCACATTTGAAGTATCATGAAAGACAAATGGTGACTAAAGAAGAACCAGAACTGCTGAGCTGCTACTAGAGCTGGGCGATATGACGACATATATCGTGTGGACGATAGAAAAGTGTCTATCGTGCCATTTGTCTTCTATCGTTTCTAACCTAATTTTATAAATTATTACATAAAATATGTCATTAACCGGTCGGAGTGGGCACGCTCCGTTTTGCCTAATTATTTTTAAATACCTGTATAACTGGAACCATGTAAGCTAGGGCAATAATTTTTTTTTGCATATGAAACCGGAGGAGTTGTACTTACATCTTGGGGCGATTGT